TATGGGAATGTGAGGACAGGAGTGTATTATGGGATGTGAGGACAGGAATGTATTATGGGAATGTGAGGATGTGAGGACAGGAGTGTATTATGGGATGTGAGCACACAGGAGTGTGTTAGCTAGAGCTGTACTACCACCTTTAAAGGACTAACCCCAGCCACCTACTTCTGTTCAGGCCCCACTTCTTTAAAAGACTCCACAGTCTCCCCAACAGTGCTACCTGCTGTGGACTATACATTCAGTACATGAGCCTGTGGGGGGACATTTCACATTCAAACCCTAAAATGGAGAGAGGAAATGGGATGTGTTGGAAGGTTGCCGGTTAAAGTTGAGGGATCAACACCCAGGCTGTCATGGGAACCAGTTGGCTGGTGTTGGAAGGAATGGCTCTTTCAGCAGCTATAGGGCCCCTCACCCAGGCGGGTGCTGCCCCCCTGTAAGGGCTAGTCTTAGGCTTACAATAGGAACATTTTTTGTGGACTTGAAATAGAAGAGTTGAGGACCTGGAGAGATGCCTTAGTGGTTAAGAACAGCTACTGCTCTTCCAGAGGACCTGAGTTCAATTCCCACATCAAGGAGTTCACAAATGTTTGTAACTCTAGCACCAGGGGACCTGACACCCTCTTCTGGTTTCATCTCTATGCATCTGTCACCACAAACACACAACTAAAAATGTTCTTAATTTTACAAGTCCTTAGGGAAACAAAGGGGCTGGGTATGTAGCTCTGGTAAAGTCCTTGATTAGAATCCATGAAATCCTTGTGATGGTTTGTATATGCTTGGCCCAGGGAGTGGCACTATTTGGAGGTGTGGCCTTGTTGGAGTAGGTGTGGCCTTGTTAGAGTGGGTGTGGCCTTCTTAGAGTGGGTGTGGCCTTTAATACCCTAGTCTTAGCTGCCTGAAAGTATTCCGCTAGCAGCCTTCAGATGAAGATGGAGAACTCTCAGCTCCTCCTGCACCAATGCCTGCCTGGATGCTGCTGTGTTCCTCCCGCCTTGATGATAATGGACTGAACCTCTGAACCTGTAAGCCAGTCCCGATTAAATGTTGTCCTTATAAGAGTTGCCTTGGGCCAGCCTGGTCTACAGAGTGAGTTCCAGGACAGCCAGGGCTATACAGAGAAACTGTCTCGGAAAAAAACAAACAAACAAAAACAACAACAACAAAAAAGAGTTGCCTTGGTCATAGTGTCTGTTCACAGCAGTAAAACTCTAAGACCCCCTGGGGTCTGATTCACACAGCAGCATCCTATAAACATCATGTGATGAATTCTGGTAACTCTGGCAGTGGTAGACACGGAAGCAGGAGGATCCGAAGCTCAAGGTCATCCTTGAGTTTTAGGCCAGCCTGGGGAGATCCCATCTCAGTGAACTAAAATGCAAAGCAAAGCCCCTTGACCGCAGTCACCTGTGTACAAAAGGGGCATCCTTATGCTTGAGTTTCCCTTACAGCCTGTTTTACCTGTTGGTCAGGCTGGCCGTGCGGCTCATCCGTATCCATTGCATGTGACCAGGGCTTCTGTTCAGCTACCATCTGTACGTGGGTGTGTTTGTCTCTTTGGTCCTTAACCTCCAGGCCCCAGCATTCAACACCTTGACACCCTGCTAAGCCATTGTCTTGGTTGTTCATTCTGTCCCAGTGAAAGCTTTGTGCAATGCTCTCTGTCCTCTTGCTTTCATGATACCCTGAGTGAAGCAAGCCACCTGCCTCCTCCCAGGTGTCCTCTTGTCATTCTCTCTTAACGGTTTATTTTTATGCGCATTCGTGTTCTGCATGCACGTACATCTCTGCACCATCTGTGTGTAATGGCTACTGAAGCCAGCAGCCTAAGTCCTCTGGCACCAGAGATATAGCAAGCTGTGAGGCCTCATGAGTGCTAGGAGCCGAGCCTGTCGCACGAGCCAGAACAGCGAGGGCTCCGTAAAGCATCTTTCCAGCGCCCTCTTATTTTTTTTTCTTTTAAATTTATTTTTTGAAGGTTTTTATGACTATTTTGTCTGTGTGTTTAAGTATGTGCATCACATGGGTGCAGTACCCACGGGGGCCAGAAAGGAGGCATCTGATCTCCTGGAACTGGAGTTCTAGATAGTTCTAGGCCACCATGTGGGTACTGGGGGCTGACTGGATTGAGAGGTCTAGGTTTGCAAACACAATCCTGGCTGTGTCTAGAACCTTGTATACAGAAACATTTGGGTCATGAGAGCTCTGTCCCAATCACTGGATTGATGGCTTGATGGATCCATCATTTGATGGCCTTGGTGAATGATAAGAAGTACCAGAGGTGCGACATTTTGCCCTGGTCTTTTCCTGTGTTCCCCTCTACTTCCTGGACGCCATAAACAATCCCTACTCTACAAGTTCTTGTTACGTTCTACCTCAGGCCCATGGTCATGACCGTGAAACCTGAGCTGGGGCAAATTATTTTTCCTTTTAGTTTGGATTTTATACATAAGGTGTTTTGCTACATGTATGTCTGTGTACCACATGGGTACCTGGTATCTGCAGAGGCCCTGAAGAGGTCGTCAGATTCCCAGGGACTGAAGTCACAGATTGGTTGTAAACCACTATGTAGGTGCTAGGAGCTGAACCTTTGGAGATCCCAGTTAAGAGTCAGTGCTCTTGACCACTGAGTTACCTCACCAGGTTTCATTGCATTATGTAGCTTAGGATAGCCTGGAACTCTCCATCCTCCTGCCTAAGCCTCTGGAGTGCTGGGATACAGATATGTATCACTTTAAGCCACTGTTTTGGGACAGTTTACTCCACAGCATCAGGTAGCTGAAAAAAGCCTTCTCTGGGCAGTTGAGACTCAAGGATTTTTTTTGTTTTGTTTTGGTTTTTGGAGACAGGGTTTCTCTGTGTAGCCCTGGCTGTCCTGGAACTCACTCTGTAGACCAGGCTGGCCTCAAACGCAGAAATCCGCCTGCCTCTGCCTCCCAAGTGCTGGGATTAAAGGCGTGCGCCACCACCGCCCAGCGTGACTCAAGGTGTTATACCTGAGGGTTATCCTGCCTCCTCTAACCCATGACCTACATTCTCCAAACAATATGGGAAGTGGGCAAAGAAACGGAGTCGTGATCTTCGACAAGTCAACATAAAATCAGACGGTTATCAGCCAACATCATTTTTTCCCCTTCATTTAATGAACACTTTACAAAGTACAAAATATACTGTCTTTTTTAGGGGGAACATTAGGTACTTTTTTTTTTCTCTTCATCATACAGTACACAACTCTCAGGGGTTTTGTTTCTTTGACAAGGAAAAAAACGAAAGCATGAGGGGCCCCGGAGGCGGACAGAGTAGGACAGCAGCCCCAGCCCCTTCACCCACGCTGCAGGACTGGTGAAGTACCACTGTTGCTGGTGACCTGGGCACGACATGCCAGGTGAGGGTCAGCTGGGGCTGTAGGCAGGGCAGGGTCCCTTAAAAACGCCACCGGGCACCCATACCTGCTCCCCTGCCTCAGGATAACGGAAATGATTTTGGCATACAGGGGAAGGTCGGGAGGACTACTGCTGTACTTCCGTCTCCCCTATTGTCTGGAGGCTGACCCTGCTCTAACTCTTCCTGTGATACGGGTAAACTGAGGCAGTAGAAAGGAAAATGGTGCTAGGCTCAGCCCACGGAAACCTGAATTTTGCCCATTGCTGGAGTCTATAGCTTCGTGGACCCTTTCCCAAGATGAGTCCCTGGGAAGCAAGGGGCACCTCTTGTCCCCAACCTCTCTCCTTGCAAATACTGTCCTTACAACTGAATCGTTCGAGGAGTCCCATGGGTGGGCCCAGGCCAGTTCAGGCTGCCTGCACGGATTCCCTGGGCTGCTGAGGGGCAGAGTCTTTCTCGGGGATGCAGCGAATGGGGAAGGGAGCCAATCCCATCAGGGCAACCCCACATTCCGCCCTGGAGCCAGGGCCTGCATCCCTATCTGTTTAACTGTGCAGCAATGGGTTAGGCTAAGGGGCCAAACGCTGCATGAAACGGCTCGCAGCTCTGAGACAAGCTCCGCACGCGTGGACACACACACTCATGCCTAATACATGTACACACACACACACACAGCATCCTGACACATGGGACTGGGCAACCCTGCACTTCTGACTCTCCGAGATCCCCCCTCTTCTACCAACAGCCACAAAATCACCACCATCAAACTGATGCCCGCGAGAGCCATGGCCTAGGCCTCAGGGGTCTCCCGGTGTCTTCAGCAGCAGGCCAGTACCTGCCCTTCCCTAGTTGAGTAGCCTTCAGAGGAGGGGCTAGAGATCAAGCTGGGGTCACCCTGGGGTCAGTTAAATGTGTCCTTTTGCTGCTTCTGATTAGAAACCAGACACAGGAAGGGAAGCTGGGATGAACTCTGAGGTTAGGTCTATCAAGTTAGTTCTACATCTTCACCACAACTCCTGAGAACAAAGCAAGGCTGACTGGTGGTCGGCCATGTTGGCCTCGCTTCCCACCTGGGTGTAAAAATGGAGGCCTGCCACCCTTCCAGGCTACATCCCTATACCCCTCCCTGTCAGAGAGCCCACCATCCTCATCTAGGCTCACCTCAGCAAGCCAAGTGCTCATGCCACCTATGGCATCCCCAACGCTGTCCACAGAGGAACACAGTGGGGTGAGGAGTGCCCTGTGATGGTTAACAGTCATCCTGACAGGATCGAGAACTGCACAGAAGACAAACCTCTGAGTAAATCTGTCAAGGAGACCGACCCTACAGGCAACCTTCCACGGGCTAGGCTCTTGTCTTGAATAAAAAGGAGAAAGTGAGGGAGCAGCAGCCTACGCCTCTCTCTGTTTCCTGAGGCTGTGGATACAATGTAACTAGCCATCTCACGCTCTTGCCGCCATGCCTTTCCCTGCCATGATGGACTGGATCCCATCAAACCCAAGAGTCACAATGGACACTTCCTCCCTTTGGCTCTCCTCTTCAGTTGCCTCAGTGGAGGCAGGGAAGAGCCTGTGTTGTCCCCACACCCAATCCAGAGGCTCTGGCTAGTGGCCCAGAGGTGGCTGGGGACTTTAAAGGTCAGCCTGGGAAATGTGGCTGGGAGGAACTGGTGGCAGGTAGCTCAGACCTTCTTTGAAGATCCTGTACCAGACAAAGGGCTGGGGGGTGGGCTGCCTGTGCTTAGGGGCTAGCTCCTTTCCATGTGCCTCAGTTATCTCTTCACTTCCACAGTTCCTCCCATCATTGGGACCACCTTAGCAGCCTAAGGTTGCTTCAGCAACGCTACCCGATGGGCAGGATACAGAACCAGGTCCCTGGGTCCAGCCCAGCACACTGGGAACCCGTTACCTGCAGCTGGTGGGACAGGGTGAATGTCGATGCTTAGGAGTCTTGGGTAAGGGGGTTTTATGGGGGCAGGGCTGCATGCCTCTATGGATGTGTATGTGTGGGGTGTCTTTAGGACCCAGTGGAGGGAGTATATAGCTGCTGATGCTGCTGGGGTCAGGGGGAGAAGTAGATTTCTTGGGAAGCCGGTGTGCCCCAGACTATGGGGCTGAGCCAGAGGGGAGGGGGTACTTTGTCGATGGGGATCCTGCATGGTCTCATTAGTCTGTACAGGTGATAGTTGACTTTTTTTCCCTTTTTTATTTTTTGGAGACAGAGCCTCAAGTAGCCCAGGGTGACCTTAACTCGTGATCTGTCTGGAACCCAGGGCTTCATGCATGCTAACGGAGCACACTGTCCACTGAGCTGACTCCCAGAGTGCCATCTTCTGTTAGAGTACCTTTCAGGCAGACACGCAAAGCCCCGGGAGTTCTGTAGCCCTGCCCAGGGGTCCTGACTGTGTTTCCCCAAACGTTACCTTCTCTACAGCCCAATCTCCTACCCTCCCTGTGAGCCAAGAAACTCTGCTCTGAGGATCTGGGAGCGGCTCAATGGAACACTTGCCTTGCATGCATGAGGCCCTGCCTCCATTCCTCAGCACTGCAGAAAAATACAAACAAAATCCCCTAGAGAACCCTGATAGCTGACTGTCGTGCCACTTGAGTCCCCTCTGAGGCTGGGTCAGCAAGGGGTGGAGTGGTCCTTCATATGCTGAGAGCTTAGCAGATAGCACTAAAAACACAAGAGTAGAGGACCTCAGTGGGGACTGTCGTATCCCCCCAGAGCTGTACAGACCATGCCATGCTGATCTACCCACAGAACACAGAGACAGACCTAGCTTCCTCCAAGGACCCACTGCAGCTAAACAGTGGGGTCCCTTAAAAGGCTAGCTGGCAGAATCCAGGCTTAGCTCCTCTCTGGACACACAATCGTGGGAATATGTGTAGTGTTCTGAGTCCTTACAGAGTCAGTCCTAGGAAGGGAGCAGGGAAGAGAACCTGAGATTCTTAAGCTTGCAGGAATAATAATAATATTTAAAAAAAACTAGCCAGGTGTGATGGCGCACACCTTTAATCCCAGCACTCGGGAGGCAGAGGCGGGTGGATTTCTATAAATTCAAGGCCAGCCTGGTCTACAGAGAGAGACCCAGGATAGCCAGGGCTATATGAAGAGACCCTGCCTCAAGAAAACAACACAACAATAACAACAAAAATCAGGTAATTGCCAGGTCTACAGCTTTCTACGGAGAAGGGACTCTGAGAGGAGGGAGGCAGGCTGGGACATAGTGGGTTTACCAGACAAAGGTTTTGGAGTAACCCTGAGGGAGGCAGCCACTGTTAAAATGGAAAAAAAAAATCCCAATCCCTCCTCTGGATCAATGCCCCCTCCCCCAAATAAAATAAAGGCATCCAGAGCTCTAGGCTGTGGAAATGGGGGTACAGTAGCTATGAAGCAGACCACACTGGCCTCTCAACCTGCCTCGCATGCAGTAGGCTGTTGGTTCTGTCTCACCTCTAGGCTGGTCTCAGGACCCCAGGGCTTTTCTAATCATCATATTGCCTACATATTTGAATTAAAAATATACGGTGGCTCAAAATGTCCCCGAGTGTGCGCACATGAGGTGGGGCCCTTGCCTGTGTCCTGCGCACACAGAATATATTAACATATATATTGCTCAAGTATATATGCTATTTACAGAATATATCTCTATCAACATAAAACATGTATTTATAGGTGTGTACAATACACAGTCTCTTCCTAGCAAGTCTAGGGGTCCACACAACTCTGGGGCAGGGGGCATGGGGCCAGCACACTTATACAGTGGGAAGGGATAACTGGAAAGGGGGACAGAAGGGATGCACCCTGGACAATCAAGGCCTTCCAGGGAGAAAAAAAAGGGACTGGAGGCCTCACTATAAAGCCCCGCCCACTTGCCATTTCCCATTTGGGATCAGAAAACAGTAAGATTTGGTTGTTTTAAGGGTTTTGTGCAAAAGGAGTTAAAAAAAAAAAAAGAAAAAAAGAAAAGAAAAACAAACCCACTAAAACCAACCAGAGGTGATTTTGATTAACATGCTGGGTTCTGAGCTTCTACAGGGTTCTAGAATAGTTCTTCCACCCAGTGTGTTTCTGCGGCCCAGAGAGGAGAGAAACAGAGTTTGTACAAGACTGTGCAGGGGTAAATAAACATTCCCCCCTCTGACCTTGTTGTTGGAGACCGCGCACAGGCCTGAGAATCCACCCCAAGAGCAAGAAGTCTAGTGGACCCCGCAGTTCCAGCTAACAGCGCCACACACAGGTGGCGATACACTGGGATGCCCTGTAGGGGGTGCTATGGGGTACTGGTGTCTTGTGTCAGAACTCTGCTCCCAAAAGCCTTCCTCAGAAGCCAAGATTCTTAGGATACATCTTTGCATCTGTGTCTGTCCCCGGAGCCACAGGGTGCTAAGTTCCACTGACCCCTGGGCACCCTAATAAGACTCAAACAGGCCCCAGCCCCTCCAAACAAAACTACTCTTTCCCCAGCTACCTGTATGCAAAACCAACGAAGAAGAAACCCGCAAGTGTAATTTTTCCCTACAAATGCTTGAAGATAGTGGCCTCCTGGGTACCACCATGACCACTGACTGCTGTGTGTATTTCAGGCAGGTATATGAGCTGCAGGGGCTGAGGTCTCTTCATCCCCTAAAGTAGAGAGGATGAAGGGGAATTCTCTAGGCTGGTCTAAGTGATAGCTGGGGAGGTGGGACATGGCCCAAGGCACCCTAGGCCTGGGCAGGTGGGGGTGCCCATTGCTGGAAGAAGCTGAGTCTTTGCTTAGCCATGTGGGGTCTGGGGAGAGCGAACAAAGGACAGGTAGAAGCTGGCACTCTAGGCTGGTGGGAGAGGAGGTGTCTTGGGATCCTCCCCAGGGACAAGTGCTCTGGAGGGGAAGTTTGGCCCAGGGCCCCTCTTGGCAGTTCTAGAGGAAAATTGACACAGGCCCTGTGTGGTCAGCAGTTGGTCTAGGGTCTTGGTTTTCCTCCCCAGCTTAGGGGTAGGGACCCCACTGCCACTGTCTGAGGCTCACCGGCCATTATGACCTGAGGGTGGCCTACTGGCCTCCAATCTGAGGGAACCAGCCCCTGAGCCTTTAAAACTAGAGCAGCAACCATAACCATCAATCTTGGGGGCCTCACGGGGGCTTCCCCAGCTCTGCACCCTCAATCTTGCTCCACCAACTCCCTAAGATGTCCCTAGGTGCATCAGGACCCCAATTCCAATGTCTCGTGGGAGGTGCCAGCTTCCTTTGGTGTTTGCTGCAGGCTGTATGTGAGGCCTTCGGCTGTTCCCAAGTGCCCTGGGCCTCGGAGACCACTTTCTGGGGTGGAACTTGGGGGAGGAAGATGGGCACATCCCCACTGAGGGGAAACTGAGTCATTATTGAAAAGGCTGGGGACTCTGGAAGGCAGGGGGAGTCTGTAGGGGTGGCCTTAGTTTAGGCCCAGGCCTGGAGGAGTCAGGAATCGGGGGAGTGTCCCAGAGGCCCCTTCCTTAAAGGTCCTGGGGCCGAGCTTTCAGTCCATAGGGAAATACTGCAAGAATAACCTTCGTGGAGGGGAAAGGCCCAGGTGGGCTGTGGCAGGGAGGAGCCCAGAGACGAATCTTTTCTAATGCTTCCCTGCTTGACTGACCTTCAGGGCATGGATAACCCCACTGATATTCTCTTCTGGAACCTACAGGGCGGGAAGCAAAGGAAAAAAAAGTGTGTGAGCCCAGCTACTTGTGCCCTACCCACATAGTGCCCACCTGTCCCCAGGGGCCACTTACCAACGCATGGTCGAACTTGAAAGTACTGATGTAATATGCTGGGATGTCTGCAGCTGCCAAGGGCTCGGAGATCTGGGCTACAATCCCACACTCATCTAGGGAAACACAGGTGG